GTACACATTGCATAAAGTGTAATTGGGATAAAAAATTTAGATAGTGTATTTTTAACATGATTATATAAATTGTTTAAAAGTTTACACGAACATCTTTTTAATACTAAACTTACTTCATTATTCGAATAAAAATGTAATACAAGTAAGTTATATTAAGTAATTAATAATATCTTATTTATTCTTTACCTTTAACAATGCGGGTAGTGGTAAAGATAACGAGCGCAAGCAAGATGTGAAAGTGCATCCTAATTGTCGTCAGCCTTCCTCTCGTTACCATCTTCGCGTCAAGAAGCATCTTCATCAACTTTTTGAATGCACGCAAAGCACATTTGTCAATCTTATACTAAATTTTCCTGTTCTCTTCTTATAATTCACTTAAGATTATAAACAGTGCTGTATTCTATTCTTTGAACCAGAATTAAAATTATAAATAAAACTCTCTAAATATTTATTATTCGAAATAACAAACACGTAATAGTAATATTTTTTCTTCTTTATTTCCAACTTAATTAATTCTAATTGTCTATGTCCATTGTCTTCATAATTATATAAAACGAGTCAATAATATGATAATTTCGAAAAATAAAAAAGTTCAAAGACATATTCATCATATAAAATAAAAGAAATATATATATTATTAAATATACTCTTCTAGCCTCACCAAAATTGATTCCAAAATGATTTTGGATTGGATCCAAAATGAATTTGGATAATTGATAACAAAACTCTTCTTTTATAGAATCAGGTATGAAACAACCACCTTGTGCATTTTTACTTAGCTATATATGTATAATATGCAAATTTTTTTCATAAATTATTATTTTTATTAATTTTATTACTACAGCCATCGCTAGTTGTATGGATACAAATATTAATATTAATATTGATACTAATATCGATGGCAATACTAATAATATTGATCTTTGTTCTATTACTACTACAGCTACTATGACTGCTATTACCATTACCGTCTACTAAAAATAAAAATAAATAATAAATAAATCAATAAAATGATAAATAATAATTATAATAACAATATTATTATAGATGTATTCCTGACCCTAAAATAAAGATCTTTCCATTGACTATTAATTATCACTATTCTTATTTATTCTTATTATTTCTGTTGTTATTATTGTCGTTATATTGTTGTTTTTGTAGTTGTAGTAGTAGTAGTAGTAGTTGTTGTTATTGTTGTTGTCGTTGGTGGTGGTGGTGGTGGTGGTGGTGATGGTGGTTGTGGTAGTAGTGATGGCGATGGTAAATTGTTATTATTATTATTTATAAACACTTTTGGATTTTGCACCAACTAAAAAATAATAAAGTTGAGAAACAATAACACTCAATCTTGATTCTGTTTTATGCCATCAAGTGTATAATTCGGCCCCTATTCTCGCCGAGTTTGTTTTGCTCAGCGCCTTCACTAGCAGAAGAATTCGCGAGTTCATCGCACTGACAGAAGGGCCAATGACCTGCCTAAAACGAATTCGAAAGGACGTAAATGTCCAATATATAGTCATTCGTAATATCACGGAAAGCGACGTTGATGTAAATAGAGATCGATCACTTCCAACACGATACCGTCAGCATGTCACGTGTCGTACTTGTGCATTGGACATCTGATGACCCTATTCCTAATTGCATCTATTATAGCTCCGTAAAGAAGCTAAAGTACCCTTCATTATATAATTAAACACATGATTGAAACGAGGCCGCATTTCTTTGCATTTGTATGTTTATTAAATTTAACGTTAAACAATGTACAGTCTATTCATTTGTTTAATTTCATAATCTTCTGCATTTACAATTAATGGAAAAAAATTTTTTTACTTTTAATTACATATTAGTAATTAGTTCATTAATTGTCGCAGATTCGAAACTTAATATATAACTAAACAACGAATTCAGCATGTATTCACAACTGATGATTTCTTGACCATTAATTTATTATTTATTATTACATTAATTTTCTACGGTAAAGTTCCTTATTAATTCCTGAAATAAATGTTTATCAATTCACAATTTGGAATTTTTTAAAAACAGTTAACAATATCAGCGTCGCTATGCCATCATGGATTATTAATGACATTCAATATCACTTTGAAGGATCTAGCATCATCAAAGGTGTATCTCTATAAAAACAACCTAGCACATGTAATGACATTCGACTTCCTTTTCACTTCCATTCTCCCATCACTTCCAACTATTAATTGGAGTGTCTATCACGACATCAATATCGAACACCTTTATCTCGATTGTTGTTACGTGAATTATAATCTTGATAACACTTAAAGAAAATCAGAGGGATGTGTAAACGCGTGCTCGTGTAATGCAAACCGACGGGGGTGATGTTGCAAAGAGCGCCGAGCAGCTCTCGCTCTCACGGCTTCCGACGCGGTTATGAGTAAATGTGTGAGTGTGTGACAGAATGGAAAGAGGAAGAGGGTGAGTAAGCGAGTGACTGAGCGAGAGTGAGTGCACTGGCTTGTGGCGGGGGTAGATCGTGGCGAGGGCAGAGGGGTCGTTAGCCAGAGCGAGAGTGCGCGGGGCGGCAAACCCGGATGATAAAAAAGAGCGCACACGGGGGAGAGGAAACAGCCGGACAACGGGAGGAGTTGAAAATCCGTCTAAAGGATGGAAATATTTAGTAAAAAATGAGCAACTATAAATTTTTACTTTTCAAATTCATGACAAAATAGTCAGGCTATGAATACGCAATCAAACTCGATACAACAAAAGAATTAAATAGAAATGCAAAAGGTAAACCAAAAAATGAGATGAAGATAGATCGAAGCTAGCTAAAGAAGAGGAAAACGGACGTAAAGGAAGCAGGTTGTTTTAAGGTTTCAATACGATTTTTATATTGTTACAAATAAATGTACTATTCAAATTTTACGGATTTTGAAAGTAAGTTCTTACATAATTTCTACGATTAAGTATTATAAAAAGCAATCTCATCCATTCGCTGTATTATGCCAATTCATATCCCATTGAACCAAAATATACTTCTATTTGTCACGTGTATTTAATATTATACTATAATAAAACTGTAGGTACAAAAATAATGAGAAAAAATCATTTAATTATGTTTAAAAATAATGTAATATAATTTGACCAATTAAATAAATGACAAATTTATTTACATTATATAATATCCAATTATATATTAATTGAGAATTGTAATTAATATTTAAAACATTTAATATTTAAATTCAGTTACTTGAAATGAGATAAATGTCTTAATTAATTTACAATAATTTATCAACAATTTGTTTAAAATTCAAGTTTATAAAAGGAATGATAATTTGTATTATATAATATTAAAAATATATCATTATTATATCTCTTGTTAGCTACATTATAAAGAACTTAATATCAAAGGATCGAGTAATCAATTATACAACTTTCAATTTGACGTTCAATGTAATTTTTTTTTCTACTATTGATGACCCTTTATAATATTTCAAAATTAATCTAGTCAATTAAAATTATCTTCACTAATTGTAAATTTTAAATTAACATAAACTTTTATAAATATTAACAAAGCAATTCTACAGATGAATTAAATAAATGTACGGAATGCTTGATAATCTATAGCTTAGATTTGTAGAAAAATACAAGGACATAGCAAATAATCAGTCGTGGGTGTCAGAACCCTAATGCTCCGTTACCCCCGCAGAGTTCCGCGGAGAAGCACGAATTCTGCCGAAAAACTCCGAGGCGATGGTGGCGAAGGCGGTAACGTGTAGATATTCGGCCGGGTACACGTAGTGGTAGCAGCAGCATGCAATCGACCACGAAACAAAGATACTCGATCATAGGTACGTATCCCCTTCCCCCTACTACCTGCTTCGAACTAGCGAGTGGAGTAACTTTCAGAGCGAAGTAGTTGAGCTTCTTGGCAAAAAGGGGAAAACTCACGGAACAGAAAGAGGAGGTATCGAATGATATAGATATCTGTAGGTCGGTGTGTTTGAAAATTTTATAAATATCCTATAATTTATGCTTTTTTTTTAGACGAATAAAAACTTTATCAAATCATTATTAATATATAAATAAAAGATAAATTAATGGATTATGATTTATGTAATCAAAATTATGTCATTGGAAAAGAATAAGGTTATACTTTAGATCAATTCCATTGTTTAACATCGTATATCAATATAATGGAAAATTAATCTAATTAATTTAAAGAAAATTGTTTAATGTTCTCGCAAAGATTCAGAATATGTTGAATAACTAATTGAAAATTACATTTCTTATTAAATATAAAATTAAAACTTTCAATATTAATTAATGAAGTAATATATATTTTACAATGTATAATATCGTTCAAGAAAATATAAATCAACTGATAATTTAAATGTAAAAAATATGCTTTTTCACCGAAATAAAAACAAAGAAAAACATGTGAGATTTATATAAGACATTTCAGAAATTACTCCATCAATTTGTAAAATAAATCAAGAAAATCAAATTCATTATATGAATAATTAATCTAATTCATTGTATAATGATTTTTTTCATTGTATTGTGTTTGTGTACAGGAGGGTACAAAAATAATAATGATTTTTGATTTTTTAATGATTTATAAAATGGATAAATATCATTGATTTATCTACATAGTAACACGATTGTATATAAACTCATTAGTTTGAACGAAATATGTTAAATACTATTTACAACTATTGTAAAAAATTCAAATTCATTTATCAATTGTGTTTAAAAAAAATGCAAATAACGTTACCTTACATAATTGCGTAAAATAATTCGTTTAATAAGACTTTACATTAAATAATAAAATTTTGTCTCTGGTATACGCACGGTATGAATTACTCAATAATTTAAAAAATTATTTTTTTTCTAACAGAATGATTTTAACATACAAAAGTATCATTACCCTTTACTTGTAATACAATTTCTTTTTGTTTCTTCAATTAAAAAAAATTTTAATTATATTTTGAAATTCATGAGAAATACATATTATTATAATACTTTATAAGATTAAAATGAAAAATTTTTTAATACATTAAATGTTATAAATGGATAAATTTTGCGTTTATTGGAAAATCTTTCATTACTCTTAATGTTTTTCGTCGCTTCCATAATGCTTTATTTGTATTCAGCATTCTCTTCGTTAGCTTCAGTTGTAGCTTCTTCCACATCCGTTATATTCTCTGGCTCTTCTGAATTCGTTGTATTATTAACTTCGTTTGTTTCTGTTACATCATCCGTTTCTTCTGCATCCGTCACACCATTTACTTCGTTTTCATCCGTTGTATTATCTGTTACTGTTGCGTCTGTTGTAGTGTCAGCTTCTTCTGTATCAGATGGTTCAGTTGTTCCATCTCCAATTGAATCTTCAGAATGTTCTTCATTACTAGATACTTCATTAGTTTCAACACTATCAGATTCTTCAGATTCCAATTCATGGCTGGATACTGACAAACTTGAGTCGACAAAATTATCTTCGCTTGAACTACGAGATGATAGACTAATATCCTCGGACTCCTTTGATTTTTTTAAATTTAAAGAACATCGGTTGATAGTCAAATTGCAATCAAATGGTTTACAGCAATTAAGTGAATTTCCACACTATTCAAAATAAATAAACTTGAATAAAATATTTGTGCACAAATTTAAACATTATTTAAAAGAGATGCTAAATGTACGAACAGGGACAGCTAATCATATATAAATTTTCCAGCAGAGTAAATATTACGATTTTCCAATAGATAAAATAAATATTGGCCTATAAATACATACTAAATAGTAAACTCCGTATATTATTTACTTTTTAAATACTGCATCAACAAATAATATAATTTTTTATAAAAATAAATATGTAGTGCTTTGATATTTCAATTAAGACTTATTTCTAATATAAATAATTTTATGGACAATAAATAATTAAAACTAATACACGAGCTTTATTAATTGTGAATATTATAAAATAAAAACATGAACAATTAAAATCGCAATTTTATTTATTTATTACATTCTCTATTTTGGAATTATCAATTTTCGAAAACTTTGTTTTGGTAAAATAGTAGTAATGCTAAATATTCAAGTACTTACGATACCACTGACACCTATACATAAATGAGTATCAGCTGAACAGTATGAAATAATAAGCACTGTAAAGCAAATACACAACATCGCCTTGGACACTGACATTATTACATTCAAATTTCTGTAATTGATAATGAAAATTTTGTAAAAAAAAAAATAATTTTAATATATACACGTATAAACTAATAAATTTCAATAAAATTTCAAATTCACTTTAAAATGAAAGATTCGATCATTTAATACTATCACATATGTATGCAAAAAACAAACTCGCATAAATAATATTATAATGTAAGAATAAAATATATGACGCTAAATAATCATCAATACATACTTCGAACAAACTTTGCAAAACTCTCTGTTTTTCTACGATTGTGTATATTTCTTTAGGCAAATAATCTTAATGGCTTCACGCTACAACTACTTCTGCCATATCTTATATTAGACGTCGCCTTTTATGCTCATTATACTTGATCATATAATCAATTGTTGACATACTATAATACGTAATAGAAATTGATAAGGGATAAAGCAGTAAAAAAATATATATAAATCTTAAATAAATTAATAGTAAATATTTTTGGATTTTTTTATTAAATATTTTCACACAATATATTATAAACTAAGAAATTTGATACCGATAAATGTACCTAAATAATTAATCAAATTCTTAATCATAAGATTGACAGCTAAAACAAATGATCCCTAAATAAATAAGCTTCTATAATCATTTTGTAATTTTATAACAAAATCATTTTAAAACAAACATTTCTTTGTAATAACAAAAACTAAAATAAAATTATTTTTATTTCGGTAAAACTATTGAGTATATTACAATTTAACTAAATAATGATGTATTACTAATTTTCTCTATTCTAATTCTATATAAATTTACTGATCTATTGTTAATTTTAATTATTTAATTATTTCATTCCCTTTTATATGCCTTTTAAAGAATTTCACGAAAATAAATTTTGGACAGCTTTATAATTTGATTAAAAACTAAATGTATTTTTATTTTCTCATTATTTTATTTTGATTATTCTATAAAATATAATAATGTTTATATAAGGATTATTTTAACCATGTTAGTAATTTTTAATTTTTAAAACACAATTATTATATTCTCATATGGTCCTCAGCTATTTCTTAATTAATATTGAAGAAAAAATATAAATCTTTTACTATTACAATAATAAAAATAATTTGTAATCTGGTAATATTATAATTATATATCTGTATTAGTGTTTTATATATGCTAATATTTAATAATTTATTTCACATTATTATAAATTAAAATTAATTGTATTTAATGTAATATTAATTAATGTTAGAATATGTTTCAGGAGGATATATTTGAATTAATTATTGCAAATATATCAATAAAAACAATAGTATTTAATTAGTATTAATAAGATTAAATTTAATGTTTAGTATCCGAATTTCAGTAAGGTGTCAAAATTATTCTATGCAGTATAACAGTTAATTATATTTATTATATTTATTTATTATCATTTTATGCTAGTAGATCATTTAATAGTACTGCCCTTAATTCAATTTAATTACTATATTTAGTGTATGGATAATATACTTAATATAAACATAAAATTCGTAAATATAATGTATAAATATCGTTATAGTATTTGTGTTATTGCATTTCATCGATAATATAATACTCTAGAATTACTAGCGGTATGATGAAAGATAAATAAATTGCTTAAAGGTCTAATTGAAGATTAAAAAAATGGATGCAATTTTTAAGTAATAATATGATTTAAATACTCCAGTTTAAATTACATTACTATTACTATATTGCACAATAGTAACAAATTAGTATGATATAATAATGAATATTGTTATAAGATCTTTATAGTCTCTTGATTTATGTTTAATTATTTATATTAAAATTTATATGGACTAATATTGATTACAAAATTACATGGATTTACATATAAGAAAAATATATTTCCTATAAGCTCAATAATAGCTAAACTCTGCAATATTTAAAAATTTAATTCTTTATGTAACTACAAAATATTTTATGAAATATAATATGTAGTTGTATCGTAATTTTAAAAGTCAATAATTAATTTTTTTTATTCAGTAATTTCTCTCTGTCTGTAAAAACAGAAATATTTTCACCAAAATCGTGATATAACAGTTTTGATAAAAAATCATATCTTTCAACTTATAAGACAATCATCTATTGTAAATTATTACATGTAAACTAAAATAAATTTTTCCTCGTATTATTAATTTAAAGATTCAAAAGAAATTTAAAAATCGAAAAGAAAATTAATTAGTAAGTAGGTGAAAGAGCTGCTTTGGCCCTAGACGAATGTACCACTCGGATCCTTGATAGCCAATACTTATCATTTTCCATGTACATGGATGGTTTTAATAACCACAGATAAGTATGAATGCAGCAAGAATCAAAGTTAATTCGTTCTCATGCTTAAATTCATTACTTTCATTATCACATAAATTACGTGAATTGTATCAGAAAAAAATGAGAAAAATGAGAGGATTTTGCTTTTTCTATTTTAGCAATATAAGATTACTAATATTTATCATCTTTAATATATATTTATGGAAAAAAAATTTAAATAAATTTTAAATCATATAAAAATTCGTATAAAAATTGAAATATATTTTATACGAGATTTTTCATTTAGATATTAGTTATATTTTAGGCGTATATTTTCTTGATTTTTTCTTCTATCTATGCTACAAATATTTGTTGAAATAACTTACATTATTGATTATACTTTAAATTCCTTTAATTTCTTATATTTACTTGTATTCTGAAAAATTATACAAAAAAATTATTATTTGCAATAATTATTTAAGATTTATTTATTTGTAATAGAATTCCTATGTTTAATTTTTAATAAGTACAATTTAAATATATATAACTGTGTATAATCAAATTTATTTATAATTCAGTTAATGATTTATTTTTAAAATTATCTATAAAGTACTGAATTTACTTAAAGTATTCAATTTACATAATATATTTATCGCATAATTAAATACTGTCCATATATACTGTCCATAGATAATATAAGAATTCAAAATTTTAAATATATGAGCGTATTTATAACTTTATCATCATAGTTAATACTGAATTAACAATAAATGTGAACATATATTATGTATCAAATATCAATATGCAAACAAATAATTTTCTTATTTATTTTGTACTAATGACCAAAAACTAGAATGAAAAATGTCTATTCAATATTTTATATAAATCATAAGAAATTAATTTTGGTGATATATTCGTAATTTATCATAATAAGTATTTATTGTATTCCATTTACTATTATTTCTTATATCTATTTACTTCATCTTAATAACACAATAGCAACATACATCTATTCAATTACTTAATTATATATTATATTTTTAATTAATAGTTTGTGAATCTTTAACTATTGATCTATATTTATATTTTCAAATAGAATATATTTTTTATGATATATACTTTATGTATCGTAAATATATATATATATATATATATAATACAAAATTCCATGAATTAATAAATTATAATGTAATAAAGAAGTTTAGAAACTAATTGTCAATTTGTCACTTTTCTCCGTAAAACCAGCGATATGTGCTTTATAATTAATAACAAAAATTAAACAAACAATTGTTATCAATAACATTTAATCTTAATTTAAATTACCAAAGTTTAAAATACCTAGTAGATATTCCAAATACGCGGTATGCCAATGATATATTCAATGCATAAATATGATAATATTAAGTTTTCAACAAACTATAATTTCATACAATAATTTGTCCAATTTTAGAACAAATTTTTACAATCATAAATACGTATAAATTAATGATTTATATAAAAAGTATTATTCCTATTAATAAAAAATATGTCAGTTAATAATAATAAATAAATGATAATATACCTATTGCTAATTTAAAGTTACTTTCTTATATTTTACTATATACAGAATATATAAGTTGATTCTTAATATATATAATGCATTTTTCTCAAATTATGCTTTTCCATTATTTACTGCATATGAACAGTTAGTATGCGCAACAGATACAATGCACGTATTTTCTCAGAAAAAGATTTGTCAATAAAATTATTTGTACCGCGACGTCATTGACACCTGTTTACTTGAAAAATTCTGCTTCGTACTCTGATTCATTCCTTTGCAAACTTTTCTTTTTCACAAATATAATTTCTACTGCTATTCTTCATGGTATCTTATTTAAAAGTAAATATAAGAAATATTAATGATTATTCAATTTCAAATACTTTAAGAATTAGATAACTTTACAATGTAAAGAACTAAAATTTATAACAATATTAAAATAAGTTATTTTTAAAAAAAGTAATTGATTACCTTGTAATTCTTTAATTAAACATTGTTCAATAAATAAATTATGTATTTAAAATTACTTATCAACATATATGAAATTACATATTGTGTAATGTCTATTTAATTAAAAATGAATATATTCGTTTAAGAATTGAATATCAATCGAGTTGATATGCAATGAGTATAATACAATTCAAAGTCTAATTCATGTGATTTCAAAATTGTAAATCAACAAGTATAGTCATATATGAAGTAGTGGAATAATAACATTGTTTATTTACCAATTAAAAATGACGCCTTAATAATATTTTCATCAATTATTATTAGATTATTGCAATAGTAATATATTAAAATATAGAAAAATACTTTATTTCATTAAAAAAAAAAATTTTATTTTTTTTGAGAAATTTTGTTTTCCTATATATATATATATATATATCATTGGATATCTTATCATTTCAAAGATATAATGATAAGTTCATAGATTTTTAATATTGATAAATTATCAAATAAATTATACAATGTGTAATTATTGCTACAAAAATTGTTTATATTATAAGTTAACATTTATATGATTATTCCAAGTCATATAATATTACTATACAATTAAATTCCTAATCTTAGAAAAATTAATTACTTAACTTTTTTTAATATTAACTTAATTATAGTCATTTTACTTATTGAAATATTGATTATTATATATAAGCAAATAATTACGTGTAATCAGTATATTTTTCCTTAAGAAATTAAATATTTTATCATT